GCCATAACGGCCAACAGCCATAGACAGACCTGTCTTCCATGTGTTTGACTAATGGTAAAGTGTGCCGTTGAGTCGCGGCCGACTCACGGCAGCCCCGTGACGTTCCACCTCATGGGGCTTTCAAGGCAAGAGCTAAGCAGAGGTGGCTTGCCATTCCCTTCCTCTGCATAGCAACCCTGGACTTCCTTGGTGGTCTCCCATCCAAGTACTCATCATGGTCAACCCCCCCCTAGCTTCCAAGCTCTGATGAGTTTGGGTTTGTCTGGTCTCTTAGGGCTGCTCCATGTCTTTGTCTCATCTCCTTTTAAAGTCATCTAAGCTAAATGGCAGTGAGCTCTATAAGTGTATTGATGCATTGCCAGGGGAAGTATTACCTATTGTCTAACCTGAATCTACTGCCAATCAGTTTTACCAGGTGACCTGAAGCGCTAGCACTGTCCCAGGAGATGGTCAGAAATGTCTCTCGATCTGCTTTCTCCACATCATGGTTTTATAACACTTGGTCATTTCCTTAGTTGTCTCCCCCCCCAACTGCAGAGCCTCAAATGCTTTATTTACTTATTTATTTTATGTCCCACTTTTCAGAGACGCTGCAATGTTCCCTCTAAGCTGAGTTAGTGTGAGCCAGCTCACAGTTTTTTAGCCTCCGGCTCACACATTTCTGTCTTAGCTCAGGAAGGATGGCTTCAGAGCAAACTAATTTATGCAGTAGCCAAACTGCTTGCTCACAACTTTAATGCCAGTAGCTCACAAAGTAGAATTTTTGCTCACAAGACTCCACAGCTTAGAGGGAACCTTGCTGAGTCAGGATGGGTTGTACGGAAGGGGTCCCAACCTTCTTCTGCCAGGTTTCCCAACATTGGGGCTCCTCATTTGGTCAGTGCGGCTGTGAAAGTGAGCCAGCAGTGTCAGGGGGAAAGGTCAAACATCTGTTTTAGGATTGCTCCCATAAGCTTTTTAATGCTGCATACACCCCCACCCTCCATCCCGGGCTTATGATTGTTTTGCTGCATGAGAACCCAACCTGGCACCATTTGAGGAACTCCCCTTTCCCCAGAATCCACTGTTACCTCTGCTGGCTGGACTCAGCAGTTCAAACAAAATGTTAAATTATACTGAAATTCAAAATGTAATAAACTATGTGGTATTAAAGTGTATGGCTATTTAAGAAGGAGTGTGGCCAATGGACAGTGGTTACAAAAGGGATGGGACTATAAAGACCAACAGACTTTTTTTTTACCTAATTAGAATATACAACGAGCCCTGCTGTATTAGACTAGTGGTCCATCTATTCCCGCATCCTTATTCATGCGGCTGTCAACCAGTTGCCCTGGAGGGTCAAACAAACAGGACACAGAGGCAAAGACCTTCCCTTGATCTTGCCTCCTAGACCTGGGTTTCAGAGGTTTACTGCCTCTAAATATGGAGGTTCCCTTTACTCACTATGGCTAGTAGCCATTGATGGACTTCTCCTCCATAACCCTTTTAAGTCCATCTATGCTGTTGACCTTCACCAAGTCCACTGGTATGCACTGTCAGCAGTTTTGATGCAATGGTGACAGATCCATGTCATGAGACATATAAGGCACAACTGCCCAACTCTTGAAGACCATGGGGAAGAGATCTTGTAGAAAAAGGCTGCCAAGAGGTAAGCCGCAAGCAGACGGAACGTTCAGCTTGCCTCATCCATATGCATGTTTTGCTTTTATAATTGGATTCTTCAAGTACCCATTTTTTTCTACATGACTGGAACCCAGTTTCATTCCAAACATATGCAGCAGCTGCCGCCCTCTCTAATTTAGTCCTCCTTGGGGAAAGTGTTTCTTTTCTGTATATCCCAAGACAAAATCACCAAGGTGATAAATAAATAAGGTGGGGGAACTGAAAGGGTTTTGGGTCATATGAGCAGTGCTTATCCAACAAACATCACAGAACCAGGAAGCTTTCTAAGACAGTATGTGCTCAAACCCCACCCCCACCCCCTGTTTTAGTTTATATGATTAGAAGATTCTGGAACCTACTACAGCAGTATGCAGACCCCATGTGGAACAAAGGGCTGTGTTCAGTTCCGACCACCACAGTTTAAGAAGGGGAAAACTTCTGAGAACGACTCCAAAGATAATCTGACATGCCTATCCTCTAAGGATGTTACAAGCTGGAAAAAAATTGAGTATATATACTCAGGATAGCAAACTGGATCTCTCCCCTGAAGCTAACTTGCCTGGCTCCAAATATTAATTGTGGTGTAGTTTTTAAAACTGCCTGGTTTATGGAAATGAAACAATAAGTTACAGCTGGGTGGATCGAATCCATGTTTTTTAAATGAAATTGATTTTTAAAATACAACATTTGATTATAATTTTTCTGAGCCTTTAAAATCAGCCAATTTAAAATTATACCTGAGTGTAGTAGAAACAGACTGAACCCACAATCTTCTATCGAACTCACAGATTATCTTTTTAGTTAATGTGTAGTGTGTGGTTATTCAGGTCGAGAATTATAAATATGTAGTATATCATGTACTGCATTTATTATTGGACAGAATATAAAAATGTACACTTTGGCAAACAAATATCATGGACAATTCCTTCCTAAATCCTAGAAACGTCTAACTGCCCCTTATAGTTGTTTCTGGAAAATTCATGGCAAATGACCTTTGGTTATGTGCCTTGTTTAACTTCCTCACACATCTAGAGAGCAAGCCAACAGAAATCCTCAGTTTTACAAGAGATTCCCTAAGATCTAAATTCTGGGACATGGTACACTTTCCAAACACATTTCCCCCCCTACTCCGTTACCTCTCAAGTAGTATATTCTGTGAGGACCACCATCCCTCTGCCTCAAGTCTCTAACTTTCAGACTAACCCTGTTAAATTCAAGAGACTTCCTTTAAGTGTAAGCTTATAAGACTCTCTATGGTAGTTTCTTTTTTTCTTGCCAGCAGCTACAGTCTCCTCTCAGGTCCTTCAGCGTTATGTGCGGAGAATAAACCACAAATCTGACAGGGCCTTCAAGGTCACTTTCGTCCTCTGAGGACAACGGGCTGGGATTTCCTGGGTGGTCGGCTCTCTGAGGCAGTTGTGATGGCCCAGAGGCCAGAGAGCTCGCAGGACTGACCACGATGGGGCTGTGGCCACTTTGGGGGCTTACAGTTCCAGAAGGAGTATGACCAGTGGGCCACACAGCAGCCGTGTCTCCATCCCAACTAAAACTCGGGGAGTCAGAATCGACAACCCATTCTTCAAGGCCTGAGCTGTGCCCAAAGGAAGCGGCATCTCCAGAAGCTGCCCCACGGGGCTGTTCAAGGGTAGGCCCGCTTTCAGCACTTGACTGACGTTCGGAGTGGGAGCTGCTACCCACAGAAGGCTTGGTGGTCCGGGCCAACGAACTGACCAATACTGAAGAAAGGGAGGAACTGCTGTGTTCAGAGTGGGCCGGGTTGGCATCTTCTGAAAAACTGGTGGATTCGGAAGGACTACGATACTCGAAATCCGAATCAGTGGTGGATTTTGTGAGAGACGGCAGGCTGCTGAGGTCGTAGAAAGAGGCACTGCTGTAACCAGAGGGCTGCCTCGCCGCAGGTAGAGACAGAACCGGTTCGGACCCCTGGTCTTTTTTCCTCCCTTTGAGCTGACCTTTCATTTTTTGGTCCAAGGTCTGTCTGTGTGGAGGGGACTGACTAGCAATCTGGAAAATATCAAGAGAAGGAAAAGAAGACTCAAGGAAGAAACGTCAGCAAATGCAGCTGAAGTAAGAAAAACCCTTCAGGATCAGACTGTGGAGGTACATCAAGCCCAGCATCCAGTTGCCAAAAGGGGCTGCCGACCAGCCAGATGCTTAGGGTGGCCAATCTCCAGGTGGCGGATGAAGACCTCAAGGAATGACAACTGCACTCCAGGTTACAGAGATGCTCTCCTGGAGAAAATGGCTGCTCTGGAAGGTGGACTCTATGGCATTATACCCACCGAGGTCCCTCCCCAGGCGTCACTCCCCAAATCTCCAGGAATTTGCCAAACCCAGAGTTGGCAACCCTATTGGGAAGCTCCACAAGCAGGGCCTGAAGGCCGCAGCCCCCCCCTCCCCGCAGCACCTGCCACTTAGAGGCCCACTGCCTTTGAATATGGAAGATCCATTTAGCTATCACCGCCCATAAGAATGTAAGAAAATTCTTGCTGGACTAAGTCGTTTCTGTATCTCAGGCCCAACCTTCAGTCTTCCAACAGTCAGCAACCCAACAGACGTTGCTAGGAAATCCCAAGAAGAACTAACTCACTGCCCCCCCACCTAGTGGTTGTCCGCCATCAGTTGGTGTCCAGAGGTACACTGCCTCTGCACATGGAAGTTCCATTCCATCATCCCCCAATGAACACGTCTATCCCCTCCTTTAAAAGCCATCATTACGATTAAGAGGCGTTTCTGTTGCAAATGAGAAGAGGACACTACAGGTACGGTGAGTTTCCAAGCTAGAGCCGAACGGAAAGAGGAGAAAGGGTGAGACAGGTGCCGGGGTTAAAGCTCTGAGGCGTCACATAAGGAACAGATGCAGGCAGGTCAGGGAGCGTCTGGTAAGGTTAGGTTAAAGCCACTGCAAATCGTTGCGGAGACTGAAACTGCTGGGCTGGGAGGCACAAGAGGCGCGCGCGGGGCGCGGGGGGGGATGTAGATTAACAGTGCAATCCTAACCAGAGTTCCCCCGTTGCAAGCTCACTGAAGTCAATGGATTTAGAAAGGGAGAACTGTGCAGGATTGTAGTGCCGGGCAGCCGCTCCTCCTCCCGGAGCTCAGTCCCGCCCCACGCTTGGCGAGCCCCACCTGCCGCGCTGGGAGAGGGAAGGCGCCGCGCCATAGCCGAATGTCCAGCCTGCGGTGTGCTCTGCTGGGACTCGGCCTGCTGGTTTCCTCCACCTCCTCCCCCTTGGGCTGGAGGCTTGCAAAAGCCGCTCAGGCAGGCTACTGAACCGCCAGGTGCCTACCGCCTCTTCCTTCGCCTGTAGGCCGTTGGCAACCGGGCGCCGCTGCCATGCAGACGGCAGCGGCTGCGCAGGGGATCAAGTACTTCGGGTAGGACAGCGAGACGTGGTGGAAAGCGGCGGGGAGCGGCGGGAGAGAGAATGGTCGGGAATGCGAGCTTCCTGGGCAGCGGTGGAGGCGTGGGATATGTGCAACTGTTGGAAAGTGAAGAGGTGTCGGGGCTCACGCCTCTGCCAACTCTCATGCTTCAGGAGGAGACTGGTGGAAAGGGGAGGCCGGAGGCCCGGGGGAAGAAGTCTGAGTAGCAAATTGCTTCATTGCTTTTGGCAAAGAGGTTCTGGGGCTCAGAGCTTCCTGGAACGTGGGAGGCAAAAAGAGGGATATGTGATGGTTGGAAAGAGGTGCTGGAGCCCACCGAAGCTACTGTAGGAAGCCCAAGAGGCGGCCGTGTGTCAATGGGACGCCGCAATGGTCAGGGCGGCGCGGGTGCTCTCCCAAGGAGGTGGGGAAGAGGGGCCCACATGGCAATGGTAGCGATGGCTGCGGCCGCAAGAGGGGGCGGCGAGAGTCTCTCGCAATGTGAGCGCGTGCTCTCCGGCCTCTGCTTGCCAGCAGGCCCTCAAGAGAAAGACTGTACTGGCTTCTTTAGTAAGACCTGCTACCATCTGGGAGGCCGTAGATTGCTGGATATTTCAGGGGTACTTCTTGAACTAGGAAGACATGCTGTTGGTGGAAATGTGCTGCTTCCTTATAGTGGCTTGGACCCTCGTATCTGTAGGGACTGGAGGAACTAATTCTGGAGGAACTAATTCTACAAGGGCTCCTAGCCATGGCTTTTTCTGAACACTGGGCCAGGGTTAAACCTAATTCAGTTTCCATTAAGGTCACCAGATGACCTTCACTTCAACTGCTGAGGGAGGAGTTTTTAAAAAGAAATCCATCTTTTTAAAAAGGTCCATCGGCCGCGGCCGCGCAGGGGATCAAGTACCTCGGGTAGGACAGCGGGGCGTGGTGGGGAACCGCGGGAGAGAGAAGGAGCGGGAATGCGAGCTTCCTGGGCAGCGGGAGGCGGGGGATATGCGCAACAGTGTTCCCTCTAAGCTGAGTTAGTGTGAGCTAGCTCACAGTTCTTTAGCCTCCGGCTCACACATTTTTGTCTTAACTCAGGAAGGATGGCTCCAGAGCAAACTAATTTATGCAGTAGACAAATTGCTCGCTCGCAACTTTAATGCCAGGAGCTCACAAAGGAGAATTTTTGCTCACAAGACTCCACAGCTTAGAGGGAACACTGATGCGCAACTGTTGGAAAGCGAAGAGGTGCCGGGGCTGAAGCCTCTGCCAGCTCTCATGCTTCAGAAGGCGGAAACTGGTGGAAAGGGGAGGCCGGAGGCCCGGGGGAAGAAGTCTGAGTAGCAAATTGCTTCATTGCTTTTGGCAAAGAGGTTCTGGGGCTCAGAGCTTCCTGGAACGTGGGAGGCAAAAAGAGGGATATGTGATGGTTGGAAAGAGGGGCTGGAGCCCAGGAACAGGGGGCAGAAGGCAGGAGAGGCAAGCGACAACTTCTCGGCAGTTTGCAAAGAGGGTCTCGGGAAGAACAGGGTCGACATACCAGGGTGACCAAGGCATGCCCGAGCCCCCTATCTGGCTTAGGTGGCCTCTGGTGGAGCACGAGAAGGATAAAAGAGAGAAACGCACGCTACCCTGAGCTTTTGGAAAGAAAAGCAGGATTAAAGAAAACAGGCTCTATGATTTAATTACCAACTCGCTCCTCCAAATGCCTTCTGAAATTAAAAATGGCTTTTAGCATGTGCAGCTCTATTATTATTACTGTTATTTGCTGCCAAGTCGCAGCTGACTTATGGTGCCCTCCATAGGGTTTTCAAGGCAAGAGAGGTTCAGAGGTAGTTTGCCATTGCCTGCCTTTGTGTCATGACCCTGGTATTCCTTGGTGGCCTGTCATCCAAATACTAACCAAATACCTGCAGTCCGAAGCATTTGCACAGTGCTTAAATTATGTTTTCAGTAACCAGTCATGCAAGGACTGGCTGAAGTTATGCAGCGATGGAGAAAGTGTGCATTGTGCACATTCCATGGCACGCTTATTGTACATTACATATTGCATGCATTTACCACAATCCTGAAAACTAGTTCCAGGAGTGGGGTCTTGGTACCTCTTGTCTGTTTCTGCAAAGACTCACAAAATTTGCAGCAGGGTATACGCTTTTAGGAGTCACTGCTCTCTTCTCCATCTTATTTTATGATAGTGTTGTATCTTGACTCATAGACCGTTTTGATGGGTGGACCTCTCAGTAAAATAGCCGAGCCATAAACATTCCCTAATTATTGGTCCAGGGTTGCTATGCAAAGACAGGCCATGGCAAACCACTTCTGAATGTCGCTTGCCTTTAAAACAGAACAGGGTCGCCATAAGTCAGCTGTAACTTGATGGCACTTTCTAGTTTGGTGTAGTGGTTAAGTGCGCGGACTCTAATCTGGGAGAACCAGGTTTGATTCCCCACTCCTCCCCTCGCAGCTGCTGGATGACCTTGGACAAGCCATAGCTCTGTCAGAGCTGTCCTTGAAAAAGAGCAGTTTCTGTCAGAACTCTCTCAGCCCCACCTACCTCCCAGGGTGTCTGTTATGGGGAGGGGAAGGGAAAGGAGTTTGTACGCTGCTCTGAGACTCCAAATGAAGGGCGGGGTATAAATCTAATCTATTAATCTTCTTCTACCATCAGCCAGCCCCCAACGCTAATTTAGGATTAGGAGTAGACTTCCAGGCCCCAATGGTTTGTGTTCTAGGACAGGCTGCCCTGCAGTGTAAAGGAAAGAAACACCTCTGTTTAGAAAAGGGTTTGTGGAAGGGGCTTCTTACTGTTGTGGGAGATGGGCTGGTGGCCCTTGCCTATGTCTAGATGCTGAATTCAGGTGTGCGTGTGTACACACCTGTTAGATAATCACCTGGTACTTAAATAATACTCCCATCAATAGTCAGTGTAAATTAGTGTGATTAATTGTACTATAATTTAAACAATACCTGTAGTAGCAGGAATACCTTAATTTGTTGGGTTTGGTTAATCAAGCTAGAAAAATATTAATTTGGGGCTGTCACCTAATTAAATTAATTGTTGCTGATTGATTATATGAGTTTTAGTTGAGTAACCCATTCAATGTGCATAAACTTGCTTCTGAATAAAAATGGTTGTTTTGAAGCAAAAGGCACTTTGTTTTTAGAAGAAGAAAAGTTGGTTTGTTTTTTTTAATGATGTGTTTATTCCATTTTCCATTTTGAAAGGGTACAGAATAAAAAGGGACAAGAGGGAAAGTGAGAAGCGTAAAACATCATTTGTTAAAACACATTTGAAGGACATTGCATAATAGAACATAAAAAAATAACATGACAATATATACATATTTTCATTATTTCCTATCTATGGGGCTAGGTAAGAAAACAGACAATCATGTCTTCTCTTGAGCATTTAGTGGGGAGAACTCAACATTCATGTTGTAATTGATGTAAGTACACTTAACAAGATAACTTTGAGATCTTACATCAAATATTTAGATATTTGCAACCATAGAAGAATTTTTACCTTATTAAGATACAACGCCTTACCCTCAGCCATAATGGAGGCCAGATATACTAGATCACAGAGGAAAAGTTGTATATGTGGCTTGGGAACTGACGAAACATTGGAACATGTAATTTTTGACTGTATTTTATATCAAAATATTAGGGAAGTTTTGATCAAGCCTATAGTTAACTCCTTTCCAGGTCGTAATAGAAGCATACTTTTGTCAACTATGTTGGCAGGGGATAACCAAAAGCTGACTAGGATGGTTGCCAAATTTGGTTGGTTGGCATACCAAACTAGGAAAGAAATAAAGTACAGATAGGCCTAAATCTAATTTCTGATCTTAATATTGATTTTATCATGTCTGTATTTTAAATTTTTTTAGCTCTTATTTATAATTTTAGATCCTATAATATTTTAGAATGTTATTGCTTCCTTATCTGTACTTATTTGTTATCGATTATACTGGTCTATGACTGTAATAAAGGCTTTACAACATTCATGCCAACTAGCCAAGGCACAGTAACCGAACTGAAAGATGACTTGATGTTTATACTGTCTCGGGAACTGGATCTTTGTCAGGGTGCTGCAGTAAAACATGACCAAAACTTATGTGGGCTGAGGTGTCTAATTATAACAATTACCAAATATTTGGAAGACAAAAGGCAATTGAGAACTTAAGCATTCAGTATAATAAAGCAACAGAAAAGATTGTGAATGAAAGTTGTAAAACCTGTTTCCCAGGAGATTTTACAAATCAAACTGAATAAACATGACAGATTTTGATTCATCTGATTGCTACTTCACGTGCTTTGTAATCTTAGTCATAGCAACAATGAGGATTAAACATCCATAACAGTTATCTTAACAGTAACACTTAAATAGATAATTAAAACCCTGATTTTAGAAACAGCTAACGGGGTGTCTGATAGTGACTTACCCAAGGCAATCCAATAAATACACAGCGGAAAAGGAATTTGATCATAAGCCTAAATTCATGTTCAGGATTTGTCTACTGGGTCACAAATTCAGTATCTGGGTTTGATAAGTCATGAAGTGCCTGTTTTATTTCTAATGTTCTGCCAATGGCCAATAATATAAGATATTTTTTTTACAGGCTAATTTGGTCATAGGCCCATGTGAAAAGTTCATTTTTATGCCCCGCTTTTCTCTACCTTAAGGAGTCTCAAAGCATCTTATAATCGCCTTCCCCTCCCCACAACAGGCACCCTGTGAGGCAGGTGGGGCAGAGAGAGTTCTGAGAGAACAGTGACTGGCCCAAGGTCACCCAGCAGGCCTAATGGGGAGGAAGAGTGTGGAATCAAACCCGGTTCTCCAGATTACAGTCTGCCACTCGTAACTGCTACACCATGCTGGCTCTATGTGTGAGTGGAGGTGGGCGCCATCTTCCAGGTAGCAATTCCTCCTGTAGAGAGAGGAGAGATGCCTCTTCTGACATAAGGGCTACTGCCATCGCACCACCCCACCATCTTATTTATTTATTTGATTTGTATCCCACCCTCCCTGCCGAGGCAGGCTCAGGGTGGCTTACACACAATATGTTAAAACTACAAACACAGGACTAAAAGTACAACAATATAATAATAAAACATATCTTAAAATGCTAGTTCATTCATAGATCATGGCAGTATTCACGGTACTCACCATCTTAGTTGAGGCATTCTCCGTTCTCTCTTACCCAGGATGGTATGCCTCTATTAAGACACTGCTTGTCACTTACACTTTACGTAAGTAACCTGCATTTTCATTTAAGAAAGTCTGTGGGATGTAGCAAAATCAGCCCTAAAACAGAGAATGATGGACATGGAGAGACAGACAGATCTCGGTAGATATCCTAAGTTTAGAGCCCCAGATTCTGTCAAATATCGCTTGCAACCCATGTCCTATTTATCACAGCTTGATACTCACAAGTTTAGGAAAACCTTCACATTAGCCAGATGTGAGGCTTTCCCCTCCGCGATGCTTGAGGGCAGATTCAAAAGGATCCCCACTGAATATAGACTTTGTCGATGCGGCTCAGGAGAGACAGAAACTATTGAGCACATGATGCTCAGATGTAACTGGTATAACAAGATCCATGACAAATATATTACTCCTCTTATAACAGATATGGTGGGACAATCAGGTGCTGAGCAGTGTAACTGATTGTTAATTGATGGGAACCGAACAATTACCGAAACTGTGGCAAAATTTTGGGTAGCATGCTACTGCATCCGAAATACACGATCAAATATATAATAATAGTTGCCTAATAGTCTCTGTTTTATGTTCTTCTTTTATTTTATTACACTCAACTGTATTTTTATAGAGTTTTATTTTACTGTCCTAAATTCAGTTTTATGAATGTTATATTTAAGCATGTGTGTTCTATGGCTTGTTGCCGTAATAAATGCCTGACTGACTGACTGAATTGAGGTCACCATTTTTAATCAACCAAAGATTTTTGTTCAGTCAGTTAAAGCCACCATCCCTAATACATTACATAGCAGAAGTGCGGTTTTGCTATATATGCTGGAGATAATATGTGGATAAGAAATGTATACTTATAAGGTAAATATCGCTAGTAATATCTGTAGTTGAAATCAGTTTAAGCACTGTTATTATGTATAACACATTTGTAAATGCTGACAAGTTGCAACTGATTTATGGCTACCCCAGCAAGGGGCTATTCAAGTCAAGTGAGAAGCAGAGGTGGTTTGCCTTTCCCTCCCCTGCAGAGCCTCTCTCCCCCCCCCCCCCCGAGGGGATTTTTTATTGCGTTTTTTAATAGACTACAAAGTACAACGAAAAATTGGGAAAGGGTAACTACATCTAGGGAGAAAGGAAAGAAAACCACTACTAACTAAAACCTCAAGTATAGGAGATCATAACAATAGCTTATATAAATGTTAATCTTAAATTGCTAGTATTACTTTGAACATAGTCTGTTATGCTAAGTTTTTTTTTAATCCATTGATTTAACTGTTTAAGAGTCCCCAGAGCATCCCATAATAAAACCAAAATTATAAGGCACAATTCAGAGTCCTTTGGCTTTCATTTTTTCTTATCTTTTCTAATCCTCAGTTTCTATGTACATTAAGGGGCAGCTGCCCCCTTATCGGAAAGAGAGTCCTCGTCGGAAGACACTGAGTCCAATTTGCCACTGGATTTGCTGTCATCTTCTTCCTTCTCGACCTCTTCTGTCTCTCCCAGCTGCAGTCTCAGGAACTCACGTGCTTTGGAAACAAAGTCAATCTTTTCTTTTTTGTCGTGTAGTTTGAAAATGACGCCTTCTGGAATTAACCATCTGTAAAGAATGCCGTTTGTAGAAAAAGGATTAGGTCTTTATATTTCTTTCTCTTTTGCCTTATTTCAAATGGAATGTCTTT